TGGGCTCACGAGGCCCAAGTACTCTGGCGTCTGAGGCTGGGCTCAAGTGACCTCTGTCTGCAGCCTCGCCTGTCCTCACCTGTCCTCGCCCCAGCGTCTTCGCTGCCAAACAGCACCCCTGCTGCCTGCCCTGCGCCTGGCGCTCGCCAGTCACGCTGTCGCAGGATGAAGGAGTGGCCCGGCTGCTCCTCCGCAGAGCGTGTGCTGGGCTCCTTGGGGCAGCGACATGCACTTCCTTCTGGATTTCCTGCTCCTTGAGCCATGTCCTGGCACCACGTAAGTGTTCCCTAAATGTTTACTTCTCATTTTCTTTTGAGAGGAGAGGATGTGAAAGTCACAAAGTGCGAAAGATAGTAACACCTGCTGTAGGGGGCTAACTGCTATGGCAAAGCTCAAAACATCAGTGACTTAGAATCCCGAAGTCTACCCCCCTTACCTTACAGTCTAATGTCGTTAAGGGGCGTGGGGAGGGACATGCTCTGCTCCTCACTGTCATTTTGGGGGTCAAGCTTTTGTCTAGGGCCCTGGGGTCCGGCACAGGACTTCCTGCCCGCTTTTCATTGGCCAGAGCTCAGCCGCATGGCACCCGCCACCTCACTGCAAGGCGCCTGGGAGCGCAGTGCGGCACCGGGCGGGGGAGGAGCGGCGGCCTGGGGGGCCCCAGAGGCTCTGACACCCCCTAGTGATGGGAGTCACCAGGCTGTGAGGCACCACGAACGGTTTTGTGCAACCAGCTAAAGCTCAGGCAAGGGCCTACCTGAAATTTTCGGGCAAGACACTGGAAGTTGTGTACGATTGTTAAATCTTTGAGCCTCTAAATCCCCAAACATGTTTTAAAGCCAGAGCTACTACCGAGAATCAGTTCCAGTGTTATTTTGGTGTTGCAGCTGAAGAAATCTCAATAGTAATTAATACCAGCAACTAGCTCCGTGAAAGTGAAGACATCCATGACTTCCAAACAAATCTGCACAGATTCCCTCTCAGTCTAGAGTTACACCCAGCATTTGGATAATGTTCCTGCTTGGCTCCAGAGGGAGTGTTCCAGGCCAAAGTAGCTCTGTTTATGAGAGGATATTACTGGGATGGGGACATCGTGTTAGGGGAGGGCAGCATGCGGACCGTGGGCCCCAAACAGACGGGAGCCATCCTGAGTAACGGTGTTTTCAACTCTACAGCCTTAACACAAAAGACAAGACGTCAGCTGTGGAATAATGTAGTGCTCGTCTCTGAATGTTTGCAGCAATTGCAAATCAAAAGTGATTTAGAACTTTAATTCAGAAGTGAGTTTAATGTGAAATTAGAAGCAGTTTTTATTTGAAAAGGGGAAAGGCTTTGAGGGAGAAGACTCCAGGGAAGAGACTGGGAACAAGAGGACCAGAGACCGAGGAGATGCTCCCGCGAGGAGCAGATGGTCCGAAAGCCCGGCCCGCGCTGCGGCCATGGCGGAGGCGGCCGGGGAGAGCAGAGCCTGGGTGCCCACGCGGCGCCCGGGGAGTGAGACTCCAGGACCTAGGGAGCCAGGCCAGGATGCCTCTCGCAAACGCAGCCCCCAAAGTGTGTCCCTGCTAAAGTCCTTGAAGACTCAGAGGAGGAGGAGAAGAAAGGAGTCCCAGGGAAGGAAGCGGCGCAGACCAGCTGTATCCTACAACGTGGGCTGTGTGCTTGTGCTCAAAGAGGGTGCCCGGCGTGGGCTCTCCCTGCGAGCGGGAAGCCGGCTGCATCTGCCCGCGGCACGATGGGCTCCGTTGGAACCACTACCCACCTTGCCTGTCCCAGGTGATGCTCCGACTGCCCTTGGCACAGCCGGGCGTCGGCCCTCTCGGTCCATGGAGTCCGGGGCAGCGGGTCCGGGAGACCTGTGCCATTCTGTTTGGCACTGTTGGGAAAGAATGTCTTTTTCTCTGGGGGTTGCTCAGTGTGCAGAAGAGAAACCTGAAGCTAGTGGTGACCGTTCAGTCTCCAGGAGGGGTGACCTCGTCTGAGGAGGAAGCCAACGCAGAATGAAGTCCAGAGAAACAGAAGTGGACAGACATTCCTAACAACCTGGGTGAAGTCACACCTGATGTCCTTTCTTGATTTGATTTTTTAAAATAGGTGAACCAAGTGTTGTTTGTTTGTTTTACTCAAGAGAGACTGCATTAGATTTCTGTAACAAGCAGTTAGAAGAGCGTTAGTACATTAATATTTGATCAACTCTTTTTTTTTCCATTCATTCAATAAACACTGGTGGGGTCCTTGCTGTGTGCTCAGCACCGTGCTGGACACCGAGGACATAAAGCCAGTGAGGGCTCCCTCCCGGGTTCGCCCCGGTGGGAGAGACGCGTGAAGCCGTAACCGCAGTGCCATGTGGCCGTCACTGTGACGGCATTTGTACGGGGCATTAAGCCACACCTAACGCTGCCTGAGAGTGGAAGGTGTATGATAAACTTCACAGAGGAGGGGATGGCTGAGTGGGGGAGTATTTCTTGCGTGGGAAACAGAAAAGGAAAACTACCTATGCCGTGAAGCTAGGGAGGGCAGAATTTGGAAAGTCCAAAAGTGGACAGAGGTTGGCAGCCTGTGGCTGTGGGAGAGAGGGGTCATTGGGACCTGCCTCCTCTGTCTCTTCCCCACACCCAGACAGGGACCCAGCAGGGGGCAGGGGTGAAAGTGGGGTGTCCGCAGTCCACAGTCAACAAGCCCCCCAACAGAAATTCCCAGGGACGCTGAAGGAGGGAGACGTCCAGCAGAGCGGTTACCGGGGCCGTCTGCCCCGCCCTGGACCCTGCGTGAGGCTTTCGGGCTCCGGCCTTGGGGCCCCCGATGTCCGGAAGCAGGGCCACCTGCGGTCCAGCCAGGGACCTGGGCTGTTGGGAATCCACTCACAAATCCCTTGAGGGGCTTTCAGCCCCAGTCCCCGCAGGAAATCAATGTCCTTTCCCCTTCCTTGCCCTCGTGTGCCCCCGAACGGTGTCAGCCCCTGCAAGAACGGGGCTCCGGGCTGGCAGGCCAATCCCAGCCCCTCCCTTCCCTTCAAGGTCATTGCCGCTGACAGCAGCGCTCCCAGTCCTGGATGACGGGGCTACTGGGACGCGCAGTCCTAGAAACCCCCAGTGGAATCGGGGACAAGCTAAAATTGTCTTGTAATTAACAAACCATCCACCGTGCCTTTGCGAGCGGGACAGCCGCCACCACATTCTGGAAGTGTTTAGCACTGTGCAGCCTGTCGTTCAGGGGCAACTCTGGCTCCACGCGTTTCTCAAAGCCTCTCATTACAACGTGAACAACGAATCGATCCTTTAAGAACATCTTGTGCCAGCTTCAAAATATACACAAAACACTAGGAAGTGTCTTATTCAGTCTTCCAAGTGGACTTCATCTCTTCGCCGTGTTCCCATGACCATGTACACATTCAGCAGGGCCCTTCTCCGTTTGGCTTCGCCTTCAGCACGGGAGCCACTGCGGGCTGGGTCCAGGTCTTGTTCCGCTTTGCTCCTTCTGCTGGGCCTCGGCCCAGGGCCCGCACCAAGCCCCGCTGGCTGCTGCCTCCGCCTCCGTGTGCGGCAGCCCGGTCCTCAGGGGCCGGCCCTGGGCTCTGCAGGTGGAGTCACGCCCTTCAGAACACCCTCCTCTGGGCTGCACCCCCGGGGCCCGCAAAGTGCCGGCCGCCTAGTGAACACCAGCCAGCAGCTGCCGGATGACGGGGCCAACAGCGTTACGATCGCTGTGAGAGCCGCGGTCTCGCCTCCTGTCCCAGTTTTCTGGGCCAAGGTTATTTTTAACCCCCTCCCCCGGGTTTCTCGCTGCCTTGCCACCTGCTGGCTGCCTCTTGCCCCCTCCGTGTGGCCTGTCTGCCAGGCCCCCTTCCTCCTCGCAGACACGGGTTTAACTCCCCAGACTGACCCTTCCACGCCGCACCCCCACTCCCTGCAGGCCCAGTCCCTCGCCCTGGACTCTCCTGCTCAGCGGTTTCAGCCCCTGTTGTCCGCCGCAGCCACGGGGCTCTGTGACCCAGACGAACACAGAGCCCCGTGGGCTGGTGGGTCTCCCTCTTCCATCAGCGGCTGACTTGGGGGAAATGTGATCATTTTTGCAAAATGGAAACCAGGTGCCCTACTTCATACTGTGTCTCTCAGTCCGGTCACACCGTGGAAGGGACTCCAGGTCCAGGACACACCGGGCGCTGCGGGGCGTCCGGCCCGAGGTGGGGGCTGGGGTTGCTCCCTGCGGGGTGGGGCGTTCCCACCTCCTCTCGGCCGCGCAGCGGCGCTTCCAGGGCCCCGCGGTACAGGAGGCGGTAAAGGCAATTCCTACAACTCGCTCCAGGAAGGAGCTGAGGAACCGAGATCCTGGCAGTGAATTGGCGGGGATCTGGTCTTTTCATTGTCTGTATCAACCAAGTAAAATGGACTCCAGTCCTTGCCTTTCCAGGAAGCCAGGAAAGTACAGACAGACCGATGGACAGATCCATGGGACGGGGGGGGCACGTTTGCCTGGTTAGAAAGCAAGGTTCACCGTTGACTAACGTTCCGCTGGCGCTCACGCTGAGTTAGCAGGTAGCCCTTGGGCAGCTGCATCCCATAGGAGCTGCTCGGCCCTGGAATCCCAGGAAGGCAGGAGCTGAGGGTGGGGAGGGAGCGTGCGTGTTTGGGGCGGACAGGTCCCCAGCACCAGGAACTGGATGTTTGGGGGGCGAGTGCACAGAAGTCACCCACATCCCTCCCCCTCCGACGGGAGGTGCCAGGTCTCCCCCCACCCCAGCAGCCCCCTCCCTCCCTCGTTGGTGGGTCAGCCTGGCTGTCAGCAGACGGGGTCGTGGGGAGTTGGATGATGAGCAGAGTTTGGGGGTTGGCTGCTGCCCATTGGAAGGCACCCAGAAAAGGGCACCCCAGGGCCGAGCACCTGCCTCTGTTCGAGTGGCCCCGAAGATGAGTCGACAGCGGGGGGTTCGGGCCCCTCTCCCACGCGCAGCACCTTCCTAACCAGCGGTGACAAATGTGCACGTTCTCTTTCAGGCGCGTTCCCATGAACTGGCCGACGCGGGAGCCGCGCGCACGCTGGCCCCGCCGGGACAAGAATGGCCCCCGCTTCCGGGCACAGCCTCCTCCTCCTGATCAGCATGCTGGGCGTCCTTGCGCTGGACCGCTGGGCCCGAGGCCAGCGGAACAGCACGCTGATCTTCACCAGGGAGAACAGCATTCGCAAGTGCAGCTGCCCCGCGGACATCCGGGACTGCGACTACAGCCTGGCCAGCCTCCTGTGCCGCTGCAGGACCGCCCTGCCCGCGGCCGAGGAGCCCGCCAGCTCCGGTGGCCCCCTGACCGTCTGGTTCACCGACTCCTCGGCACTGGGCCTCCTGCTGAACTTCACGCTGGTCCGGGACCTGAAGCTGTCCCTGTGCGGCGTGAACACCCTCCCCGCGGAATACCTGGCTGTCTGTGGCCTGGAGAGACTGCGCGTCAGTGCAGAGGCCAAGCGCCCCGCGCCGGGGCGGAGCTTGCTTATCCACCACGAGGTGCGGGAGCAGCCCGCGGCGCACTCGTGCGCGTATGTCTCCTTCTTAGACATGGCCCTTTTCAACAGGGAGTCGTCCCTGAAGTCCTACAGCATCGAGAACGTTGCCAGCATCTCCAGCAACTTTCCCCGCTTTTCCGACTTTAAAGCTTTCCCCATTCTAAGCAACAAAAGCTACGTTGTCACCTTCATTTACTAACCCTGTCACTGAGTCCGACCCCCGGGGCTCTGGCCCTCTCGGATAATTTGAAGACGGGCCCTGGGACTGAGTTCACGGGTGCCCACAGCACCCCCTCGCCGAGACCCCTCCCAGCAGAGCCGCACAGACACGTGACCAGCCAGCCCTCTCTGCCCCGCTCCCTGCCCAACCGTGGGAGCTGTTTTGAAAAACAAAATAAAAGGAAACCCAAGCCCAGCGTGGCTCCGTCCAGATCCCTGCCCCGGGGGCGAGCGAGAGGCCAGGTCCTGGCTACCCCTGGGGGTCTGCGGGTCAGGCGAGGCCAGAAGTGGACAAGCAGCGCTGCCGGGGGCTCCTAGAGGAGCCGGGCGCAGGGCGACCCCCGGCAAAGGCGCCCCCATCAGACGCTGCCTCCGGGGTGCTCTGCCGCGTCCTGTGGCAGGCCTGGAACTTTCTCCGAAGCAAGGAGTGGTAGGTTTCCGAGGTTCCAGGACTGGGAGCCGCACAAAACCACAAGGCTCCCTTAGATGCCTATTTTCCAAATACCTTGTTAGGAGCAGACGCATCGAGAAAAGGGAGTTTGGCGAGCATGTTGGGGGAGGGGGGCGCTGGGCAGGGTGGGAACTTAGGACCAAATGAGGGTACCAGGGGTCAAGGAAGGGGTCAGAGTGGAAACTGGGGGACACAAAACCAATTTTTTTTTTGTTTTGCCTGGGCCCTGGGGAAGTTCTCCTCGTCGAGCCCTTCTCTGTCGTTTCCTTCTCTTTCTTTGCCTCCTTCTGTCTTTGGCCGCATAGTCAGCTCCCGCTTCTCAGATCGCCTTCCGTCCCTCCCCTCCTGCCCCAGAGCCAGAATTAGGTGAGCGCCAGCAGGGCCACGGTTGGCCACTAGGGGCGAGCCTGGGAGTCTGGCCGTCTCCGCCGACTCCGCTGCGGCAGCTGAAATGCTCGCCTGACCCATAGCTGCCCCCAGGGACTGGGAGGGCTCAGTCCGCTTGGAAGTTTAAGAGTGGGAAGGCGGGACGTGTCCCGTGGCACGGTTAGCACAAAATGGTTTTGTGAGTGTGGCCACAAGGAAGCAAGGCAACATTTAAAAACATATTTTTTATTTTAGAGAGAGAGGAAGGGAGAGAGAAAGAGACAGTGAGGCATATTGATGTGAGATGTGGGAGAGAAACATCGCTCGGTTGCCTCTTGCGCACCCCCTACCGGGGACCAAACCTGCCATCCACCCTGTGTCCTGACTGGGAATCGAACCTGCAACCTTTTGGTTCACAGAACGATGCCCCACCACTGAGCCCCACTGGCTTGGGGACCAGGCAATATTTTTTAAATTAAATGGACTCCTCATTGTACAAAGAGACGCTTTCCTGACAGAGGCCCAGTTTACCATGAGAACATAAGGAATCCACGGCCATCGTGGTAGGAAAGCCCAGGCTCGGTGAGCAAAGACGTTAAACAATGTTGCATTCATGGTGCCATCGCTGAAGTAATAGTTTTATGATGAGAAAGGAGGACGTCTCGGGGTTGCTGCCTTCAGGTCACATTCCTCTTGGTGTAACTGAAATGAGCTGAAATGTCCACATTCGCTTCAACGGCGGGGGTTTGGCCCTCCAGGCTACTTAGCACGAGTCCATACATCAGTGTTTAAACGAGGCCACAACGAAGACCAAAGTATGAATTTTAATAGAAAAACATAATGACCTCATTACCGACATTATACTGAGAGGATTAAAGTCCCAGAAAAAAGACAGAGACCGTAACAGCAAAGAAAGTCAAGAGAGACGTCACTGAAAAGATTAATAATAAACACATGTACTGTCATTAGTGACTGAAAGTGTGAAAAATTAAACTTTAATGGGTTTTTCTTAAGAAAGTATAAAATAAAATGATGTTAGAAATTCTGAACATTTTCACGTGCATATCTTCCTTTTGGTGGCTTTTAATAGTTTCGAAGTCCTTTCACATAGGTTTTAAGCGATTCCTGTACGAAATAATTGAGGGTCACTGGGACTTAAGTCCACAGAAAAGGGGAGTTAATTAGTTCGGAATCGAGCTTGGGGTTGCCAGCTCTCTGGGCTGAAAATGCGGTTCAGGCTGCCCCGACAAAGGATGAAAGAAGAACGAGAAAATCCCCAACACGTGTGTGGGGGGAGGGGGTAGCATTTGGTGCTCGGCCGCGGGTCTGGGGAGACACCAGGGAGTGTGGGGGTGGTGGCAAAAGGGAAGGGCCGCAGACGCGCAGCTCCGGATGAGCGTCTCCGCAGGAGAACACAGTGGGGCCACATCCCATCCTGCAAGGGAATCTGCAATTCCAGGTTTTTCCGTGAAATCTCACAATTTGCAAATGTGGGCAGGCTATTCTGCCCGTGTTTGTTTCTTGCTCTCAGTAACAGTGTGGGTGAAACCACGGCCGTCAGAGCTCCCCAGGAGGCCTGGGGCGAGCCGTGTTCGCTCTGATTAGTGCTGTGTTGGTGAACGTCTAACCACCAGCTCTCCAAAGGAAACAGGCGCGCGCACGTTTCTGTAACTTTACTGATAGAAAGGATGGCTGGCACACCATTTGCAAGTGATAATAAAATATTTGATCCTCTTCATTATACCCTGTGCCTACACCATCGATGCTCAAGAATGCTTCAGCTGATATTTGCCAAACTCTTGTGTCCAGAGCCACCCCAGGGGGAGACCGAGGACCCCGTGCAGTTCCAGCGCTCGCGCTCGCTGGCGTGTTCGCTTACGTGAGGAGTCAGAGGAAACCAAACAGCGAAGACGAGTGTGGGAGCGTCACTTGTTAGTCGGTGATGTGAGCAACTTGGTTGCTGAGCCACACCCTAGTTTTCCCATCTGACTCCTCCCGGGTCCCCGGCCCTTCGCTGAGCCTCTCTCGCTCTGGCTCTGCAGCAGAATGAAGCCGTACAGCAGTGATCCGAGTGGCTATTTCCTCAGTTCACCCAAGACGCAACCTGCCTGGAAGTGTGGAAGGTAATTGGGATGCATGAAAGCGCACGCCTTCCACACCGCAGCCCCCGAAAGGCTGCGGGCCCGGCCTGGGATGCGGCGGCCCAGCCCGCGCTTGGGTGACCGACTGCTCACGGTCAGACCGGCTCTGCCCGCCCAGCCTGCGGGGAGGGCGTCCCTGCCCTTCTGGCGCCTCCTGCGGCCTGGGGCGGGCCGGCCGCAGGGCCCACTTCCAGGTGTGGCCTGCGCATCAGGAGGAGCCGCGTGCGAACTAGACGTGGATTCTCGTCCTTCCCTAATCCATTGGTCTAGGGAATTCTTCAAGGGCCGTAGCTGCGGCTCGAGGGGCAGGTAGAGGAATAGGGACAGCAAGAGGAAGCGTGAGGAAGCCCGGAGAGGCGGCGCTTGCTGGCATCGAACCCCGTCTGTACTGCTCCCACTCGCTTACGGAGGCCTGTTTTGCACGCCCCGCTTTATGTTTTAGTGGATCAGATAACTTCCATTCTTTTGCGGCAGCTGAGGTCCCGCGGGCACTTGGGGTCTGTCCCGTGGCTGGGCAGTCAGTCTCTTTCAGGGCTTAGCGTGCGCCAGGGGCAGTTGCACAGAGGGAAACGTATTTGCCACTTGATTGAATTCAATCTTCTACTTAATTGAATTCAGCTTCAGATTGCTACCTGATCCCTACTGGTCACAGACCAAAGATCATTCTTCTGAGAGTCTTTAAAGCTCTAGGAACACCTGGAGGTGACACCAAACACCCGACAGTGAAAAGGGAGCCCAGGGTGAAACAAGGAGGCACTTGAACACACAGGGTCCATTTAGAAGAGACCCCAAAAGGGCCGTCACGGTCAGGAAGGAGGGAGATGCCGTGAGCCTGGTGTTTGGGGGCAGCGGTGTTCTGGTAAATAACCAGCTCTCTGGGAAAAAGAGACCTGATCGGAGGTGTTCGCCCTTTCCCAAGACGCCAGTGCTCCTGCCGGGGTCAACCGCAGGTTACAATGTGACATCGCTGACCTGGGGGGTGAGAAGCAGCGTGTCAGGAGCCCCAGGAAGCCCGAGGGAGGCAGCCTCCGCACACCAAGGAGGGGGCAGTGTTTCAGGCTGGGTCGGAGTCAAAGCAGAGCAGCGTAGAAGTGCCCTCTGGGTTTGCGGCAGGTAAGTCACGGCGACCTTGAGAAGAAGAGGGTCAATAACGTGGCGAGGACGGAAGCGAGGCCTCAGGAGCGGCTTCAGGAAGGAACGGGAGACGGGGACTCGCCGGCCGTGAGTGGAGACGAGTGCGCGGAGAAGCTCGGCTGTGAAGGGGACGGAGGGCTCCGTGGCTGGGAGACACGCCAGCCGGGGGCCCGGACGGAAGCGCGGCGCGCGCGCCCCGAGGCCAACGGCGCCGCGGGAAGAGCTGGCGAAGCAGGAGGGCGCGGCCGCGAGAGGAAGGCCCTCGGGGGAGCAGAGCACTGAGCACAAGGGGACGGATCCATCCTTGACCGGAAGGCTGCCGTTTCCATTTCAGGAATGGAGGCCGGGAGGAGACGTTCCGAGGCAGACAGGCTGGTAGGTGTGGTTCCCTCGATAGTTAATAAGGGTTATTAGCTGGTAGAGCAGCAACGGTTTTGAGAAGAGGTGACTGTGGCGAGCAGGACCGAGAAAATGGGGTTGGTCCGTCAAGACAGCATAAAGGGTACAGAGCACAGCGGAGTCACTCACGTCACCCAGGAGGGCTGCCACTCAGCCGTGACACTTCGGTTCAAGAGGAAAATTACCTCAGTCAGAGCAGACACAGCTGGCAAGGAGGCATATCTGCCCACATGGCCGGACAGACACGTCTGGCAAGGAGACGCGCTTAAGGTATCTGCACACGTGGGCAGAGCAGCCGTGTCCGCGCAGCGGGACCTCCCACAGACAGGCTCCTGGGGGAAAGTGCCCACTTGGCATCGGGGGGCCAGGACATTTATTAAGAAGACCCAGCGGGTGGAGCACACCACTTTCCAGGTACAACCAGGCTCCAGGCCGCCGCTGGGACAGCCGAGCTCCGCGCCACGCCGATCTCCCTGGGCCTCGGCCGCCGGAGGCGCTGCCCTGCTGGACGAGGACTTCGCCTGCCCTGCTGCCCCCCCGGCCCCGGAGACCCTTCCGCGCAGGATGCGGACGACTCCCTTGCCCACCGTGCTGACTCCCGGACCTGCAGACCGAGACCCTGGGACTCGGCTTCGCTATCCCCCATCGATTGCTGTGTATGTGTTACATTTCTCTTAGATTGTTGGAGTGTGAGTAGGATATTAATGTACGTTGATGTTCTGCTTTGAGTGAACCTGCATTCAGTGAAGGCCGAGTGCATAGCGTAGCGGCTGTGAGTGACTCCCGTCCGTTCCCCGGTGCCGGGCCGCTCCGCAGGCAGCGAGCCGAGCGGTGGCCCTGCTGACTCACAGGGAAGACTCACGAACACACACTTTTGACAGTGACATAATAACCCATAGCAGGGAAAATCCGCTTACCAAGGAGACATTAAAAATAGGGGGTAGATAAATTTGTTGAAAGTTACTAACAGAGACATTCGGAGCTCTTCATTGTAGTCATCTTGAAGGAAAATGTTTTGCCTCAATCCCAGAAATCTTGACACATTTAC